TGCATTTTTACTTGTACTTTAAGAATGAGGAAGAACCTGAATTCTATAGTCTTGTTTCTTATTTATCAATAGGCTATACTTTTTTAGACTCTGCTGATGCTGCCAAGCTGTATAGCTATTTGTGTGAAAAAGGCTCTTCCGTAGCAATATGCAGCAGAAAATTCCTTTTGACAAACCATAGCAAACTTAATTGAGTCATGAAGTATGCCATTAAGTAGCTTTCAATGAAGCAAACAGTCTTTTTCCTAAGGTAGCATATGCTAGCACCAAATTTTAACATGGCTGTATGGTCTCACATGAGTAAGGAAATTGCTTACTTCATTTATAAAAAGTCATGAAGTTAATATTTGAGTGAGCTATTACATCTTAAAGACGTAGATGCTCTATAAGGATTTCTTCTTTCTTAGATCTACTTAAGCCCGTTTAAAAATATATTTTAAAAATGTATTTTGGCATTGAATTTTTAGGTCAATATTTTTTTTCTTTTTGGTTCACACCCCAGCAATGCACAGGGTTTACTCCTGGCTCTGCACTCAGGAATTACTCCTGGTGGTGCTCGGGGGACCATATAGGATGCCTGGATTCGAACCCGGGTCAGCCGTGTGCAAGGCAAACGCCCTACCTGCTGTGCTATTGATCCAGCCCCTTTAGGCCAATTTTTAAAATCTGTCTTTGACTTTTGTTTAATCTTTCCACAATGAGAATCCAAAATCAACTTCTTATATTTTTATTTTACTTGAAATACTACATAATGATAATAGGATCTATTCTGTCATAATAGTATTTCAGGTTCTCCCCTATTGTCTTTGCTGTCTGAAACAATTCCAAATTCTTATGCTGCACTTAATATTTCAGGATGGCTGTTGATAGGGCTTTCAGCACAAGCAGAGATTATCAGCAGACATTAGTTATCCCGTGAAACTCTGTCTGAAAATCTTTCAGATACCCATAGGAGCTGGGTGATATTATAGCTCCAATGTCAGCCCAATGAGTAACATCAGTAATGGGCATCGTTCTTACTTGCCTCCCCAGTGCAGCAATAAGACAAGGAAAAGGAGATTGTAAACCATTGATTTGAACCATATAAATGGGCTGAAAATAAATTGGGCTATCTACTGTATTTGTCCCCAAAGCCAAATTTACCTAACACATAATACAAGTAGTGCTACTCAATTGCATCAAAGGGCTTCTTGGCATCTAATAAGATTGTTGTTACTGGTTCCAATTTTCTTTGTATTCCAGATGAGCTGCATTAGCCTATGCAGATTATCTGATGCTTATCTCTCAGGCATAAAGCCCTCCTGAATGAGGATCTATTAGATTTGTGATGACTTCAGTTAGTCATGTAGCAAGCATTCTAATATATTCTTTTATGTCTACTCACATTGTATCAAAGAATATTTTTCACAAAGCTACTAAAAGGGTAATGCGCAGTTTTGAGTACAAGGTTATATATGTCTATGTAACAGGATTAAGGACAATAGGTCACCTTGATTCCAAGCCACCTGTACATCAGATACTTTTAAAATTAATACAATTTTTCATAATCTGTTTCTGAAACTAGTGGCTGTTCAGTGTATTGATGGCAGAGTTAATGTATTTATTGATAAGAAACCTAAAGTTCTACAATGCAATGTTGAAAGCAACTCAATGCTGCAGAAAATAATCATCAATTATTCTTTACTTTTCAACTGATATCACAGGGCAGCTCCAAATTTTCACTCTAGTTCAGAATCTGCAAAGGAAAGGAGGGTGGAGAATACCTCCATGGGAGAATTCTGGGTATTCTAATCACAGGAAGCATTTCATCAAAGTGCCCTAAAATATTTCTAAACTTTCTTCCACAACCTCTAGTACTGATAAACGTTTTAATGTATTGAGAATAGGGAATTCCATACAAGTGGGAAAACTGAATGATGGAGGGGTATAAAGTCACTTGATAACCTTGATTCTTACAACCCACATCTTGGAGACAGCACAGTGTTGGGCAAAAGGTATTGTATTGGTAGCTGTTTGAATCTTGGCTCCAGCCTTTACTTCTCAGTGTAATACCTGAAAGCTATGAACAGTCTTCCTACTGACAAAAGGAGATTCCAATACTGATTTTTGGAGTGAGAGAAAAGATCTGTCTATACTTGCATGTATCTATACACATAATGAACTTGAATTCTGTTTAACAAATGTTAACTATTTCATTGTAATTACTGTTAATAATCAAATGAGCTAAGATATATATAGATAAGTAAATAGATATGCAGTTTCAGTAATTATGGGAAGGTCTAATCTTATAGAACACAGTATATTCAAATTAGGTTTTATGGTAGTATATTGGAAAAATAATAAAAATAATAAAAAATAATAACATTCAATAAATAGTACAAACAAACTTTTTGAAAAAACTTTAAAATCTACTGTACCTGAGGCTGGAGCATTAGCACAGCAGGTACGGTGTTTGTCTTGAACGCAGCCAACCCCGGTTTGATTCCCAGCATCCCATATGGTCCCCTGAGCACTGCCAGGAGTAATTCCTAAGTGCATGAGCCAGGAGTAACCCCTGTGCATTGCCGGGTATCATCCCAAATAATAAAAATTTAAAAAAATAATAAAATCTACTGTATTTAATATCAGGATTTCAAGTTTTAAAACAAAGCAATAGGGCTGGAGAGATAGCACAGTGGGTAGGGCATTTGTCTTGCACGTGGCCGACCCGGGTTCGATTCCCAGCATCCCATATGGTCCCCTGAGCACCGCCAGGAGTAACTCCTGAGTGCATCACCGGGTGTGACCCAAAAAGCAAATAAATAAATAAATAAAACAAAGCAATAAGCACAACACAGGACGAAATTTTAAAAACTTTTCCATTAAATCTTCTGTATTAAACAGTCTATCTGACTGGGTCCAAGAAAGCCATCTTTTCTTTAAATACATCAATTAAATATAAAAGAAAATGCTGTAAATGATACAAAGGTACCAAAAAAAGAAAAACCCCACTCCTCCAGGACTTATATGAACCCATTTATATATGCTTGCAAAACAAAATAGTTTATGAGTAAGCAAACTGTAGTTTAAAAGCAGAGAACGTAATAAACAATTGAAAAGAATTCAGTTTCAGCAGAATTTTGTGTTTCTGTCCTCAATTTATTAAGAAACAAAAAGCTCACTCACAAATAAATGTAATAGTTTGACATGTGCTATATGATTTTCCTTAAGAGTCGGTAAAATATATCTGGACTCTAAGTGAATAAGCAATTTCTGGAGAAAATACATGATCCAAACCTGAAGCTAAAACTCTTAAGTATATACGCAAAATTGTATCTAATATTCCCAAAGTAGATGTAAAGAGGAAGGGCCACTTAGTAAGTGGTATTGAGTTTTGATAATAATATAATCCACTAGCATTAGGCATCTTCCTCTGCACATTAATATATGACATCATACTTTCATGTAACATTTCATAAAGGAGTGAAATAAAAAGCTCCTCCAAACTGCAACCGTAGTATAATCAGATTCTGTAGTGCTCATTATGACTGCAATTATGTAAGAAAACTCTCCAAATATAGTTCAGTTATTGCAGTTATTAATCATTCTGGTTTTGTTTCAAGTACTTGCTTTATAGCCTGCTGGATAGACTCCATTATTCTACAAACTAAATGTCGAAAGTCAAACATGTGCATGTGAATCTGCTGTTCTAACGGCCTTTCCACATAATTTACCCTTTCAATTTGTATTTGTGAATGCATAAAAAAAAAAAGTGAAGAAATAAAGCCTGTGTCAATAGAGTCACTGACCTTTGCAGTAAACAGAAGATAGTCCTTAACGAAAAACAACTTGGCAAATAAGAAACCTATTTTGCTAGAAGTAGAAATAGTGTTGCTACAAAGTTATTCTCAGAATACCAATCAGTTCCTACAGAAAAAAAGGGGAGGAGGGGGAAGGAAACCTGAAAAAAAAAGCTTTATTTTTAATAAGGAGAGAACTAATGAGAGGCCAGGGCCAGCAAATGTGCATTTTTTAAAGGCTAAAACACAAACATCATGAATAGAATGCAGTTCTAAATGTTATATGCATAAGACTATGGATTCTGACTAATTCAACTACAAAATGCCAAGTAAAAGACAACAGATTTATTATACAGAACAAACACCATCTGTACTGCCTTAAATCACTGCTATAGTTACATTTCTAGGGAAAGAAAAATATACCTGGGACTGGGGAGATAACTCAAAGAGCTGAGGGGAAGGGCGCATACTTTATACATCAAAATCCCGAGGATCTGAGCCCCACCACCACATGGTCCTGAGCTTTGGCAGGAGAGATCTCCCAAGTCCAAGCCCAAGCCCCAAGCCAGGAGTAGTTCCCAGTATGATTGAGTGTGGCCCCCAAACCAATAAAGAAGAAAATGTACCTAGAAATTTCTTAAGCCTAGTTTCAGATTAAATATTAACTAAATGGGATTACAGACTCCAGGAAAGAGACATTGTAATTAATTAAGTACTAATATGAGGCTGGGCTGGAGCGATAGCACAGCATGTAGGGTGTTTGCCTTGCACACAGCTGACCCAGGTTCAGTTCCTCTTCCTCTCTAGGAGAGCCAGGCAAGCTACCGAGGGTATCCTGCCTGCAAGGCAGAGCCTGGCAGGCTACCTTTGAGGTTTTTGATATGCCAAACACAGTAACAAGTCTCATAATAGAGATGTTACTGGTGACCGCTCGAGCGAATCGATGAACAATGGGAGGACAGTGCTACAGTAAAACATGAGGTCAGAGTGATAGTACAGCAGGCAGGGCACTTGCTAGCATGTGGAAAAACCTGGATTGATCCCTGGTACCCCCCAGTTCGACAGGAGTGATGCCTGAGTGAAAAGTCTGGCATAAGCCCCAAGCGCCACTTTGCTAGGTGTGGGCCAAAACAAACAAACAAACAAACAACAAATAGTAATATGAGAGAGCTTAGACATTTAATAATACATTCTCATGGTTTACAAAAACACACATCACCATTTCACGAAGTCCATGATTTTTTCAACTTGGCTACATACATTGGGCCCCAAGCTTTGCCCTTTTCTGGAATCACTAAGAGTTCATATTCCTGGCCAGTGGGAGCAAACGAGAAGTCTTGGGAGCAAGTCGTTGCCATGTCCTTTATGTCCACAGGCATTATGTTACTGAAGGTGTTTAAAATTTCACTGACCACATCCTGATTTTCTGCCTTGGAAAGTGTGCAGGTTGAGTACACAAGTGACCCTCCAGGACGTAATACCTTGATTGCAGACCTGCAATAATCAGGCAAATGTAAAAGATAGGTCAGTACAATAAAACAAAACTGTTGAAAGCTAACCTGCCAATTCTATTCCAATTACTCTTTACTCTGATTTTGAATGTCTTCTAGCCTTACAACTACTATCTATGATATTTCCCAGATGACTGGGAGCACAGTAATCAAATCAATATGGGAAAGAGAGGATGTTGATTACTTCCTTATTTTATTCTTTCACAGAAAAAAGGGAGTAAGAACAAGGAATAATGGGTTGGTCTTTGAATACACTGAGTGAAATTTAAGGTTAGATCTGAACTTAAGGAAAGGAGTTGGGACCAGTAAAAATTGAAGTCATGGAAAAAAAGTAGACTAAGCAAAGATACCCAGAGAATGCCTATATTTAAAGGAAGACAGGTCACGGTCACGGTCTCGGTCCTCCCATTGTTCATCAATTTGCTCAAGCGGGCCCAGTAACGTCTCCATCGTGAGATTTGTTGTTACTGTGTTTGGCATATTGAATATGTCACAGGTAGCTTGCCAGGCTTTGCCGTGCAGGCGAGATACTCTCAAGAGCTTGCCGGGCTCTTCGAGGAGTGGAGGAATCGAACCCGGCTCAGCCAGGCTGGCTGCGTGCAAGGCAAACGCCCTACCGCTATGTTATAAAGGAAGACAGGTTCGGAAAACAAAATCATTAATTCATTAATATATGCAAACTTTGTTCATCGTTGCAGTTAGAAAAATAGCTAAGATAAGGAAACAACTCAAAAATCCAACTGCAGATGAATGGATCAAGAATTTGCAGTATATATACAAAAAGGAATACTATGCAGCTCTAAGAAAGAACAAAACTATGCAGTTTGCAGCAACATGGACGGAACTAAAGAATATCTATCATGCTGACTGAAGTCAGAAGGAAAGAAATCAATACAGAATAATCTCCTTAGTCCATGAAACTTAAAGATACAGATAAAGGTATAAACAAAGGTCCAAAGGCGTTATAATGGAAGAGCTGATCCACACAAGTGAGTTGGTGGGAAGAGGTCTTGGGTTCCTTGGGAGAAGGAGCTGGGTATTCTGGTGATGGGTGTGGTCATGGAATAATGTACATGAAAAATCATCACCTCTCATTATTAGAAAGCATTACAAATCAGAGACTCTCAATTAAAAAAATAAAGGAAAGCTTAAAAAGGAAATTAATAGATGAAAGAGAAGTTTCATTGAAAAGATGGTAAGGAATATTTTTTGAAGGTAGCTTACAATACCACTGAAGTTATTGTTTTTATAGTTTCAGAGTACTACTCCAATTCTTCCACCATTATACCAAGGCCTACCCCCATCATAGACCCCCTGCACTCAATTCCAAGTTTTGTTTTTGAAAAGACTTGAACATATGTGTAAAACTAGATATCAAAGATCAATCAGAGAAAATCAGACATCAAATAATGAGTTAGCTCCAGGAAAGAGGTAACTTTCTGGACCTTCACTGGAAACAACATGACGGCATGAACATGAAAAAGGACTTTCTGCAGACAGATGCAAATATGTGTCACACTGTCTAAACAATAAAGTGAAGGCGAGTTCAGACTATCTACTAAGGAGAAACTAGAAAATGACCAGAGAAATATAAGATAATAAAATACCGGAGAAATTATGAATCAGGAATTTTTCTTAAGAAATTGTGTTCCAGATCCAGGGATATATATAGCTTAGTGATAGAGTACTCAGCTTGCATGGGTGAGGTCCTGGATTTGATCCCACAGAAAGGGAAGGAAGGAAGGGGAAGGAAGGAAGGAAGGAAGGAAGGAAGGAAGGAAGGAAGGAAGGCAGGCAGGCAGGCAGGCAGGCAGGCAGGCAGGAAGGAAGGAAGGAAGGAAGGAAGGAAGGAAGGAAGGAAGGAGAGGAGGGAGAGAAGGAGAGGAGGGAGGGAAGGAAGGAGGGTTTTGTTTGACAGTAGTGTCAGTAGGCTATATCAAACCGTGTAGATGTGTATGTAGTAGACTTACTACTATACTAGGTGTGTATTATACTATCATTTAGGCTTGTATAATTACACTCTATGAGTTCACCTAACTACAGTTATCAATAGTGACACATATCTCAGAATATATATTTGTCATTGATCTAGGAAAGAATGCATGTAAAGATAGGATCTTGCTCAAATGTCTACCTAACACCATGTAAAAAAGTAATATCAAAATGGATTAAGGACCTTAACATCAGACCGGAATCCATAAGGTACACTGAAGACAAGGTTGGCAAAACCCTCCATAACATTGAAGCTAACGGTATCTTCAAAGATAACACGCCACTGGCCAAGCAAGTGAAAACAGAGATAGACAAATGGTACTATCTTAAACTAAGAAGCTTCTGCACCTCAAAAGAAACAGTGACCAAAATACAAAGACACCCTACAGAATGGCAAAGGATATTTGCCCAATACCCATCTGATAAGGGGTTCATATCAAGAATATACAAAGCACTGGTTGAACTCCACAAGAAGGAAACATCCAACTCCATCAAAAAATGGGGTGACGAAATGAAAATAAACTTTCTCAAAGAAGAAATACAAATGGCAAAAAGTCACATGAGAAAATGCTCTATATCACTAATCAGCAGGGAGAGGTTAGATCAAAACAACAATGAGATATCATCTCACACCACAGAGACTGGTCAACATCCAAAAGAACAAAAGCAACCAGTGTTGGCATGGATATGGTAAGAAAGGGACTCTCCTTTACTGCTGGTGGGAATGCCAACTGATTCAACCCTTTTGGAAAGCAGTATGGACGATTCTTGGGGAATTGGAAACTGAGCTCCCATTTGACCCAGCAATACCACTCCTGGGAATGTATCCCGAAGAAGCAAAAAGGTACAGTTGAAATGACATCTGCACTTCTATGTTCATTGTGCATTGTTCACAATAGCCAAAATTTGGGGGGGAAAAAAACCCGAGTGCCTGAGAACAGATGACTGATTAAAGAAACTTTGGTACATCTACACAATGGTATATCATGCAGTGGTTGGAAAAGATGAAATCATGAAATTTACATACAAGTGGTTCTATATGGGAAATATCATGCTAAGTGAAATGAGCCAGAAAGAGAGGGACAGACATAGAAAGACTGCACTCATCTGGAGGATATAAAGTAACAGAACGGGAATCAAACCCCCAAGAATAGTTACATAAGTACCAGGAGGTTTGCTCCATGCCTTGAAAGCCGGCAGCACATGCTGGGGGAAAAGGCAGCTCAGATAGAGAAGGGAACACCAAGTGGAGGGTGTTTGGAGGACTCGCTCGGGATGCGAGGTGCATGCTGAAAGTTGACTATAGACAGAACACAATGGCCACTCAATACCTCTATTGCAAACTACAAGACCCTGAAGGAAAGAGTGAGCAAAAGGGAATGCCCTGCCACAGAGGCAGGACGGGGTGGGGGATGGGGTGGGGGGTGGGAAGGCTACTGGGATCATTGATGGTAAAGAATAGGCCCTGGTGGAGGGATGGGTACTCGATCATTGTATAACTGAAACCCAAGCACGAAAGTTTGTAAGTCTACAACTGTACCTCATGGTGTTTTACTAATAAAAAAAAATCTTGAAAAAAGTAAACAGAATTAAAATTAAACAAAGCCACTGAAGTGTGCAGTTATTTATTATAATTGGTTTTCTCTTAAAATGAAGAAGCTTAGATGCAGATTACCAAATGAAAGACGAAGTGAAGAGATTTTTTTTCTTTTCTTTTTGGGCCACACCCAGCAATGCTCAGGGATTCTTCCTGGCTCTGCACTCAGGAATCACTCCTGGCAGTGCTCAGGGAACCATATGGGATGCCAGGGATCAAACCCGGGTCGGCCTCATACAATGCAAACGCCCTCCCCACTGTACTATCACTCCAGCCCTAAAGAAATATTTTAGACTTTTAACTTTCCAAAACTGATAAAATAACGTTTGAGTAATTCATTCTGATGAACTTTGCAAATGAATATAAAGTATATAGGCACATATAGGCAAACACACAGAAAATACATAACAGATGTAAAAGTAAATGTGTTTGCATGTGTGTTTTTATTTCACCATGCAATCTTCCAATGCCTACTGTGTGTCCTATTATTCGACTCAAATGACACTGTCCTCTAAAGTTCAGCATCAAATTACACAAATTAAGGGCTCATTCCTATAAGACCACCAACTAATTCATGTCAAATTCCAAGCCCAGGCATTCAGTACCTCTAATGAAAGGTTCTGTATCAGGGGCACCCACAAACCCCTGATAACACTCATTACCTCAGAAGATTGACATAGATCTAAGAAAAGCTTATTTGCTAGATCAAATATTATTTAATGATAGGTTCCATAAAGAAAATTCAACCAAATTAACAAATAAGGAGTAACTGAATGACAGGTAGATTATATATTTAACTACAATGACACTTCTGAAGTGACATTTGAACAAACATCTGAGGAGGTAAGAAGTTGTACCGTACAGATATTTGAGGGAAGAACATTTCACACAAAAGAAACAATCAATACAAGGAAGCATGTTCTAGGAAAGAGAACAGTGTAGCAGAAATAGGGTGAACAAGGGGGTAGCGGGATGAGATGAGAACAGGCAGTTAAAAGATGTGTAATGGGTTTTATATGATACTGTAAAACCTTCAACCTTACAATGGAAAAAGGACATCTGCACTTAGATGCAACATTATTGAATTTTAGAACTTTGAGAACAAAGGGAAGATGCTAAACGCCTCTAAAGAAAGAAATGGTTCACCTAAAAGTGTCCAGGAATCATACTGTCTTCAATGGATCAGTGTACTACTGCAAATCCTAGGGGAGAAAAGCAATTTATAGTGGACTCTATTTCCAGCCAGCTGTCAGATAAACACACAAGAAAGATATAGAAATTTTCAAGTAGCCGATGAGTCATAAATTTTACTCCTAGCAAAATGAGGAAGTACATTAAGAGGAGAAATATAATACAGAAAACAATGAATTACACATAGGAGAAGAGTGGAGGGA